AAAAAAAAAAAAAAAAAAAAAACCATTTATCAGAGAGTCTGCTCTGGGGTATATCTCCTCTCTCACCAGCCGTTTGCCTTCACTGCCATGCTGCGCCTGGGCACTGGGTCTAGCTGCTATGTTCCCAGTAGGCACTAAAATAGGCTTTTATTGCTACTGTCAACATTGGCTTTCTGGGTGATTTGGGCAAAAACCTAAAGCTTTCCCCACTCAGAATCTATTCTCCATCTACAAAATAAGTATCCTAATTTCTCCCAAGTACCTGCTCAGGAGCCAGAGGGCAGATTCAGCAGGAGCCAGAATGAAAGCTGGGCAGGACAGAGGTGAGTTCCCTTCCTGCTCTCTTCTCTATGGGATTAGGGAGAAGCCCCCTCTTCAGTGACTTCCTTCATGCTGATGTCAAGGTGAGGAGTGAAGTCGCCTGAGTCCCATTTTTCACTGTGCCAGCCCAGGAAACCCACAAGGACATGAGTATGGCCCCTCAGCATCACAGGCACAAGCTCCTGCTTCCCGCTGGCCTCCATGCGGCTCCCACGGCGGCCAGACACACACTCACTCGAGGGCATTTTCAGGTGCTGTTCCCTGTGCCTGGGATGCTCTTCCCCACATGTTTCAACTCCTCGGCATTCTGCTCAGTGTCATCTTTCACCCGGTTGAACACGCTGACCCTCTGTGTCCTCCGTCCCTCTTCCTAACTTTATTTCTCCTGACAACCCTTACAGCCATCTATTTGTTTGCCGCTTAGCTTTGTGTAGCACCCGTCCCCACCACCACCACTAGAAGGTGAGCTTCAAGAGGGCCGGAATTTTTATCTGTGTGTGTACACAGCTCTCTCCCGAGCACATGGATCAGTGCCTGGTACAAAGCAGGCACTCAATGAACAAGAGTCAAGTGACCTTGTGCACTCACTTTTCTGGGCCTCAGTGACCACGTCTGTGGAATGGGGAGCAGGATGGAGTCTGCCACCCAAGCAGGAGATTAAACCCACTTTTTTTTTGAGACAGGATCTCACTGTGTAGTTCAACCTGGCCCTGAACTTGCAGTGATCCTTCTGCTTCTGCTTCTCAAGTGCCAGGATTACAGGCGTGCACCACCACACCTGGCTCAAACCCATTTCTTGAAGTCCTTACCCACCATTTCCTTGCTCTGTAACCTAGCGAAAATGATTTGCCCTGTCTAACTTTCAGAAGAGAAAATCCTGGCCGTGAAACAATAGCTAATTTTGTTTGGCTGCAGTTCCTGACCTCTGCCCTTCTAGGCCCTGTGTTTTCTTCAAGCCTCACAGCAGCCCTGGGCAGCAAGGGTGTTGCTCTGGCTTTCCAGAGGGGAAAAGTGACTGGAAGGAAGAGACTTGACCAGTCTCACAGCTGAGTGAGTGGGAGGGCTGATCACAGAGACCCCAGGAGTTTGGGGCCAGCCTGGGCAACAGTGAGACTCCATCTCAAAAAAAAAAAAAATGTAACTGGATATGGTGGGACACGCCTATAACCCCAGCACTCAGGAGGCTAAAACAGGAGGATCTCTGTGAGTTCAAGGCCATCCTAGGCTACATAGTGAGTTTTAGGCCAGCCCAGACTACACAGAAATACCCTATCTCAAAAAAAAATTGTAGGCAAGGTAAAGATATTTTCAACTAAACAAAGTCTGAGAACAGACCTAATCAGAAGAGAAAGACAATGGGAATTTCTTCAGGCAACAGGAAAATGGTACCATTTAGAAGCCCATGAGCACAGGAAGAAATGGAAAGCACAGAAAAGGTGCATGTGTCACTAAATCCAAAGGAATAGTAGATATTTGTAACAATACAATTATTTGCTAGAGCAGACACTGTACTGGGGCACATGGCTATTCTGCGCAGATTGTAAAGGGCTGAAATCACGTAGTTTCCTCTCTTAAATTGTGAAATTAAACTAGAAAACAAGAAAGTAATTGTGTGTGTGTGTGTGTGTGTGTGTGTGTGTGTGTGTGTGTGTTACTGGGGACTGAACCCAGGGCTTTACCCTAAGTTACTTTATCCCCAGCCCTTTTAATTTTTATTTTGAGACAGGGTCTCCCTAAGTCACTAAATTAAATGCCAAAAG